TGTTCCGTTTTCCGCATGCGGCACCGTATGGTTTAAGCTTGATGCTGCGCAGAGGCAAGTAAATGCGATCTCCTCCCTCGCGAGAAGGGCTATAAAAGGGCTCGGCGGGACTCGGCTGCGTCGAAACGAATTTTCTTCGCCCCCGTCGTTCTTTCCGCTGAAGTTTCTTGCCGCGTTACCGTCGTGCCGTTAACGTTTCCGGTCTTGCGGGAAAATGTAGCGCGATCGCTTCCGCCGCCGCTTTATTATCCGCGATAACGGATTACAACTTACCGAGTGCTCCGAGTGCTTTCAGAGGCGCATTGTTGAGGTACCGAGCGCGATTTTCATTCCCGAAACAATATAGAGTATATGGGAATCGTAACGTAAAATTGACGTAGATGTTCTAAGAGGATTTTCTATTACTTAGTTAAAAGAAGGATAATAAACTTGAAATTCGGCAAAGAATTTGTTTCCAACACTTTCGCGTAAAAATTTATTGAGAGCAATGGTCATTTTGATTTTCATCAGGTTTCAAATTTTTTATTATTAAATATTGAAATTCGGCAAGGAATTTGTGTCCAACATTTTCGCGTAAAAATTTATTGAAAGCAATGATCATTTTAATTTTCATCAGATCTCCAATTTTTTATTATTAAATATTATTATTCAGTATTGTTAAAATTATTGTTCACATGTGACGAATAATTGTTAATTAAAAAAAAAAAGAAAATCCTCTTTAATATTTTCTAATCGATTACTTTTATACAGAGATATGTCTCCGCATATTAGAAACCATACCATATAATACGAATTACCGTATTTCGGTTCAGCATCAATCATTTGTTTTTAAAAAAAACTCTGAAGGAATTTTTTTTAATAAACTTGAAATTCGGTAAGAAATTTATTTCCAACACTTTCGCGTAAAAATTTATTGAAAACTATGATCATTTTGATTTTCATCAAGTTTCTCAAATTTTTTATTATTAAATATTGAAATTCGGCAAGGAAATTGTGACCAACATTTTCGCGTAAAAATTTATTGAAAGCAATGGTCATTTTAATTTTCATCAGATCTCCAATTTTGTATTATTACATATTATTATTTAGTATTGTTAAAATTATTGTCCACATGTGACGAATATATTGTTAATTAAAAAAAAAAAGAAAATCCTCTTTAATAATATTTTCTAATCGATTACTTTTATACAGAGATATGTTTCCGCATATTAGAAACCATACCATATAATATGAATTACCGTATTTTGATTCAGCATCAATCATTTATTTCCAAAAAAACTTGAAATTTGGCAAGGAATTTGTTTCCAACACTTTCGCGTAAAAATTTATTGAAAGGAATGGTCATTTTGATTTTCATTAGGTCTCTCTCTCCAATTTTTTATTATTAAATGTTATTATTATTTAGTATTGTTAAAATTATATTTCACATGTATATAGAATTGCATTAAGAAATACAGATTTTATTACTTGCAAGACGAATATATTGTGAATTAAAAAACAAAAAGAAAATCCTCTTTAGTAGTAATCTTTAATCGATTACTTTTACAGAGATATATGTCTCCGCATTAGAAACCATACCATATAATACGAATTACCGTATTTCGATTCAGCATCAATCATTTATTTCCAAAAAAAGTTGAAATTTGGCAAGGAATTTGTTTCCAACACTTTCGCGTAAAAATTTATTGAAAGCAATGGTCATTTTGATTTTCATTAGGTCTCTCTCTCCAATTTTTTATCATTAAATATTATTATTATTTAGTATTGTTAAAATTATTTTTCACATGTATATAGAATTGCATTAAGAAATACAGATTTTATTACTTGCAAGACGAATATATTGTGAATTAAAAAACAAAAAGAAAATCCTCTTTAGTAGTAATCTTTAATCGATTACTTTTACAGAGATATATGTCTCCGCATTAGAAACCATACCATATAATACGAATTACCGTATTTCGATTCAGCATCAATCATTTATTTCCAAAAAAAGTTGAAATTTGGCAAGGAATTTGTTTCCAACACTTTCGCGTAAAAATTTATTGAAAGGAATGGTCATTTTGATTTTCATTAGGTCTCTCTCTCCAATTTTTTATTATTAAATGTTATTATTATTTAGTATTGTTAAAATTATATTTCACATGTATATAGAATTGCATTAAGAAATACAGATTTTATTACTTGCAAGACGAATATATTGTGAATTAAAAAACAAAAAGAAAATCCTCTTTAGTAGTAATCTTTAATCGATTACTTTTACAGAGATATATGTCTCCGCATTAGAAACCATACCATATAATACGAATTACCGTATTTCGGTTCGGCATCAATCATTTATTTCCAAAAAAAATCTCTGAAGGAATTTTAGAAAAATCCCATTCGCGAGAAAGGATAGAATCTCGTGTAATGTCTTGTTTATTCTTCGAGGCTCGAAGGGATCGAAGGGATCGAAGGGAACCTTCGGCCCAAGACGCCACATCGATCTTTTCTTTTATTCTGGCTGCGGCCCACCTTCTTTTTTATCCCACGTACAACACCTTTAGTTCCCTCATTGAATCGCCGTCGATTGCACGCTTTTATATCGCCGCAACTTCCATTCTTATACACGGAAAGCTTATTTATTTCTTGCCTGTCGGACTCGTATGTAGTTTCGTATTCGTTCGTTTCCGCCAGAACGGATGGAAAAACAGCGCAGTGGAAACGGATGATTTGGAATGGCAGAGAAAGGAAAGGTCAACTTTGATTAAAGTCGCTTCCATTCTCTTTTTCTTTCTCTCTCTCTCTCTCTCTCTCTCTCTCTCTTTCTCTGTTTCAGTCGCGGACGGATTTTGGCAATATTTCCGGAGAAAAACGCCAAGTGCACATATCTGTCCCCTTTTGGATTCTCCTCCGGAACATTTGCGGTCGTGGAGTGATATGAAAGTTATATGACTTTGTAATACCTTTACCTCTCGTGTGAACGAACAAGTAGATTGAATGGAAAATAATTTGCTTTTCTGAAAGAGACAGGGAATTTCTGATGCCATATTTTATATATGAATAGATATTAAATTTTATTGGACTGTGTGAAAAAGTACGAAGAAAAATCGAGCTTCATCCAGTTTATTTTCTCAAATTAGCATCCAATTTAAAAATGCGAAAAAAAAAATAGAAAGAAAATATCTGAAAAAAAGCTGATCCATTTGCTAAAAAATTTATTGATTAGAAAATAAAGAAATATATAAAATCTTTTTATTATAAATCATACTAAAACTAATCAAATAAGAATCAGTATTTAAAACATTAAAATTTTGTAAAATATTTTATCAATAATCATGCATTTCTAATATCTGTTATCAGTTCAAAGATTTGTTTCCGAAAAGCTATGTTTAAAAAACAGGCAAACAATTACAATTATTAAGGCACCTTCACTTTTACACGATCAGATTTGATTTAAATGAGCAGATTCTTGTGCCAATGACGCATAGGAAAATGAAAGAAAGTTACCTGATAGGAAACGATAATTCTCTTTAATGAAATTGAAATTCGGATCGTCTCTCTTTACGTTGCAGCTGTCGCCGCTCGTCAGCAGTTAACTTTTAGATTTAATATACATGAGAAAATCGAGGAGCACACAAATAGAATGTCAGTGATGACTCCTGACAACTCGTTCCCACCAGTTTTACCTCATTCGCGAGGGAAGTAAGACAATCGGTCGAATGTAATTTCTCCATCTCGTTGGTAAACTCTGCTGACACGCGCCGTTTCCCTCGTCGCGTGACACGGCGATTTAGTAGTTCCTCGTATCCTAATTAAGAACTCCATTTCGCGATTCTTATTCCCGATAGAATCCAATCCGAGATCGATGTTCCCAATAGCAATTGGAAACTAGTCGTGATTGATACGTAGCTGTTGAATATAAGGCGAGGGATATTAATTTAAAGTTAAATGACCGAGGGAAAAATTGTAATTTTTATATAAAGCTACATTTTTCTTTTTAAAATTAAAAAGAAAAACTCTTAGAAATTTCCGTTTAATTAAAATTCTAAAGATGTGTACGTTCTTGAGAGTTAATCTAAGAAAAAGTTTCATCACTTTTCTCTTATATTAAAGTTGAAATAGCCACGACTTCACTTTCCTTCCGCATAATCTTCAAAATTTAGAAATCTTACGATCATATTGCAGATTTCGGATTTTTTCTTCATCGCGTCTCACAAAACACATGCCCGTATCATTCGAAAATTAATATCGTTTACGTTTTTATGCGCACGAATATATGATGAAAATTTATGATTCATTGATTTATTTCGGGTTAATCCGAAATAAATAAATAAATCATAAATTTTCTAATATATAAATAATATTAAAATAATATAATTTATAAATATATAAATATATATAAATAATATATAAATATATTAATATATAAATAATATTAAAATAATTTATTAATAATATTATTAGTAACTTAAATCATATTAAAATTAAGTAATAGCCGCGAAGAGATCGGAGTTACGGAATTGAATATACTCGTTCCCGACTTGTACGGTCGAGAAGATTTGCCAGGACCTTTCTCGCACATCGCCGTAATTGAAGTCAATATTGTAGTCGTACTTACCTGGAATGATATGTACCTCGAAATTGGAACATCGGGAAGATCTGAGCAAAGCGAAATTGTGTCGCAGGAATTCTCAAGAGGAATCATTACATATACACGCGCGTGTTGTAAGTGTGTATGTATATATGTATATATTTATAATCGCGTTCATCATAAAAGTACAATAATAGCTTTATATCAAATCACGAGGAGAAAGTCAATATTTTTCACATGAGTAGGCGTGGGCGATGGCTTTCAATAATATCGATTCGCTGCGGATCGTTGCGTTTGGCTTCCTCTCTTCTTTCTTCTTATCCATTCGTCTTTTTTTTCTCCTTTTTTTTTTAAAACGATTTTTCTCCTCTCATGCGACCCCCAACGAAACGGAAAAAGAACAGGTGCGAGGGAAAATTAAAAAAAATCGTAAGAGCAACGCAAAGAAAGTGGGATATTAAACAAAACATCAATGTAGACAATGAAATAATAACAACAAACAGTTTACAAAACGCAATAGCTGTGTCGACGGCGTGTGTTGTGTCAGTTTGGGAGGTACTGGAATGCGACGACTGACGTCACAGACGCGTCGGATAACTAGGCGATCGCAGTAGCAAACGAGAGTAACAGTCTGTTGGTTCCTCCGAGTACGCGAATTGCGTCGATTAGCCGAGACTCGATCTCGAAATTGGTATTCGCCGGTCTCGCTATCGTTTTTCTTTCGCCTCCCCCTCCTGATCCTTGTGTGATTATCCCCTTTTTGTTCGCTCACTTGTTACTATTATCATTTGTACAAATATATAACAATTCATAATTCTCACGATTAACGATTACGATTACGTGGTCCGTGGTTCAGCCTAATATACGGAGGTCACTTTTACATCCCTTCACCCCTTAACGGAATGCTGGCCTTCCCGAAGAGAGGCGAAGAAGAGACGTGCCTTTTGTTCCTTCAATAACTTGACGACGGTCGTCGATACCGCGAATGTTGCGCGAAGAAAAAAAAAAAATGGCAATAGATATTATCATTCGAAGATGCTATTGAACAAACTAGATTGCTTTCGACTCTTGTACCGCGCAACACTTCTAACTTGTTCGTGTTGTCCGTCGCTCGGCTGAAGTTCTATTTGTTTTGCGGATGCACGCGACGATGATCGACGCGATAATCGACGAAGATTCGGCGTTACTTCGTGGACAGAAAGCGCCGGAGGGGGAACGCGAAAGGGTGTGGAATCAAGGGTGTCACTATAATCAGGCACTTGATAATGTCCTTCACCCTTTTTCTCCGTGTTCGGAATCACCGTCAGTGTCTTGATGTGTGTGACGATGGCATCGGCGACGCACTCGACAACGATGACGGGCAAAAAGTAGATTTCTAACTAAACACACATCTCTCATGCATTCGCACATTCATGCGACCGCATCACGGCTAGATAAACAACAATCACACTTCCTTTCACTCTCTCTCTCTCTCTCTCTCTTTCTCTCTTTCTCTCTTCCTCTTTTGCTGTTTGCTCCACGGAGTTCTATCACGTATTCGACGAATCATCCTTTGCTTGCTCCTCCCCCTGTTTCTTCTTCCACTTCTCCCTTTCCGTTACGTATTTACCACCGTTTTCCCATTTTCCTCATTACACATATGTAGACTATCTCTGGACCTCGCTGACGCGCAGACACGTAACTTCTGACTCGCGAACTGATCACAATCGAGATTCATCGATCTCTCTGCGACTCTTCGGCAAGAGGTCAATAGCTACGTGGCAGTTAACGAAGTCTAGGTCATAAGCTCTGTTGCGTCGTCGGCGTCCAGGTCTTCGGACGGTTCCATTTTTACGGCGAGCTGCGTGTATCCCATATTGACCTCTCTTCTGCCGGACCAGGCCTGCAAATCAAATATTAACGTACGCATATTTATCTTCCCATCGAATCATTTATTGTTTGAAAGCTATACAGGGTGTTTCAGATCACCTATTTAAAAACTAGAGAAGTAGTTGTTTCAAAAAAGTAAAAGCATTTTCTTCATAAATCAGATGCGCTCTATCGAATGATGATATTTTCAACTTTTAGTTCCGGCCGAAAATAGGCGATTCAAACCGGAAGTGCATTTTTTTTAATGGAACTCCCTATTTTTCATTGCATATTCTTGTAGCTTGCCTCGAGAGCTTTCCAAAACACTATAATAAATTATTTTTCCATCAAGTACTTTTCGACTTATAAGACTTGAAATCATTTCTTAATTTTATTTATAAACCATAAAATATCTTGTAAAATATTCATTTTTCGATTATCTTATCTTAATACTTTTATGTACAAAATAATGAGAGGAATCAATTAGTGTAAAGAAAACACATAGTTGTTTCTAAGAAAAAATACGTGATTTGCAATTAACAATTCCATATTTTTTCTTAAAAACAACTGTATGTTTTTTTTACATCAATTGATTCCTCTCATTATTTTGTACATAAAAGTATTAAGGTAAGATAATCGAAAAATAAATATTTTGCAAGATATTTTAACCAGAAGTTGAAAATATCACCATTCGATAGAGCGCACCCGATTTATAAAGAAAATGTTTTTACTTTTTTGAAATAATCACTTCTCTAGTTTTTAAATGGATGATCTGAAACATCCTGTACAAATCATACTTTGAACCATAAATTTCAATATAATACTGAGACAAATTTTAATGCAGTTTGGAAAATATTTCTTAAATATAAGCAATGATTTGAAAATCGCTAAATACGTCAATTTTTAATTTCAATATATACCTGAAGAGCGACGAATATCACTGCAAATAACGCGATTGATGCTAAACAGATAGCAACCGCCATCGTTGTAGCTGCTGTTACGGCCAGTGAAGCCGAATCGTTGTTACTTGATCTGCCATCGCTGTCAGAGTATGTTTCAGAGACAACCGTGTCGGCTGAGAATTCTGTTCCTGGTACTCTTCTCTTACCAGCTGGCGAGCTGTTCCTGCAGCCGCCTGTAAATATTAAAAACACATCATTCAGTAATTACACAATGGTATATTTATAATAGTATAAAATTAATGTAACAATCTCATATCGATAATAACATAAATTACTTAGAATAAAAAGTATAAATTAATGGAGGATACATTATTTACTCAAACATGTTATATTAAGACATCAACACATGAAAATTACCGGTTTCTGGGTCGCAGAGACAGCATTCTTCAGCCTGAGGCCCCTTTTCGTTGCCCGTACAGCAAGGCACGCACTGATTATTCAATTTGTCCAAATGCAGCGGTGGCGAACATGCAGCGCAACTGAACTTGCCGGGACCGGTGCATCTTCGACAGTCGGAATGGCAACCCTTGCAGAGCTGTGTCAAGGAATCATAGTATTGTGCACCCAGACATTCCATGCATAATCCGCCTTCCAGCATCGAATGAGGTGGACAGGAAGTGCATTCTAGCGGACCTTCTCCTGGAATATTTTTCTCGTTGAAAAGCAATTAGATTTAACTTATCGAATTATAATTATATTACTTTTATACCTTTGCATGTGCGACAATAATGATGACACTTCTGACAACCGAAATTGGACTTGAAGAAACCTTCCGGGCATTCGGGATGGCATTCGCCGGCTGCCAGTTGCCATCCTCTTGGACAAGTGACGCACTGATCCCTTCTCGGTCCCAAACACGTTTTACACGACAAATAACACTTGGCACACTGTCCTCGGTCGCTATAATAACTAAAACCAAAAGAGTACAGGAAGCGAAACATATCAATGCTGTCCCATAAATCTATTCAATATATTGTACAAATAAATTCTTCCGTCTTACCCTGGCGCGCAGGACGATCTGCATTCTCCGCTTTGCAGCTGCAGTCCATCTTGACACGCCGTACAGTTCAGGCGGGAGACGCAACTCTTGCAGGTGTGCAGACAAGGAACGCAAATCGGCCGCGAGGGTTGTACCACGGAGTAATACGCGTCGTCACATTGGGACACGCAACGTTTGCCTTGAAGCAGTAAAGGGTTCGGGCAGGATATGCAGTGATCTTCCGTGGCACCGGCGCAGGTCTCGCAAGACGAATGACAGACCTTACACTGGCCACTCTCATAGTACTGTCCCGAGTTACAGTTGCTGCGACTCTCGGGCGCGCACAGCCCCTTCTTGTTCAAGCTCCAGCCTTCGATGCAACTGGTGCAACTCAGCGTGGCGCAGGTCGCGCAACCGGGTGGGCATGCGACGCATTCGCGTCGTTTCTTGTCGGCGCTATAACCCGCTGGGCACGAGGCGCGACATGTGCCTGCAACATTCGAATCAAAAACCACGTGTGATATATAGAATATCGTGATAATTAAAAGAAGTTTTAGCAACTTCTGAGATAAAGAATCTTTTTATTTCATATTTAATAATTACGTTCTGTTGACATTCAATTTCTTTAAAAAAAATTTCTTTCGGATACGTGCTTACACTGTAAACAATTTTTGTGTAAATTTACAATTATTATAGTGAGTAATATTGAGACCAACTATTAAAGGTGTATATTTACATACATTAGTAAATTTACATTTTATAGATAAAATTATTATCTTAAATGGTAAGTAAGCATCTTGTACTAATAAATTTACATTAGAAGTAGATTTCTAGAAATGTTTATGTAATAATACATTTTGTATATGTATTTATACAATTTTACATATTAAATTTAATTTAAAATTACATGCATAATTAGTGTAATAATTACGCTATTTATAACGAAAATATATAAATTTATGTGCTTTTACAAAAAGTAGTTATTTTGTTCTTTATTGTATAAATATTCGTTTATTAAGTGTAATTTTTAAATTTTATATAAATGTTACAAAAAATTCTACATTTACATAAATTCCAAAAATTACACTTTTCACCTTGTCATTTCTCATCAAATATAAACGAATATTTACACAATAAAGAGTAAAAAAACTAATTTTTGTAAAAGCACATAAATTTATATATTTTCGTTATAAATAGCGTAATTGTTACACTAATTATATATGTAATTTTAAATTAAATTTAATATGTGAAAGTGTATAAATACATATACAAAATGTATTATTACATAAACATTTCTAGAAATCTACTTCTAACATGTAAATTTATTAGTACAAGATGCTTACTTACCATTTAAGATAATAATTTTATTTATAAAATGTAAATTTACTTTAGTTATTTTGTTCTTTATTGCGTAAATATTCGTTTATTAAGTGTAATTTTTAAATTTTATATAAATGTTACAAAATTGTACATTTACATAAAATCCAAAAATTATACTTTTAACCTTGTCATTTCTCATCAAATATAAACGAATATTTACACAATAAAGAGTAAAAAAACTAATTTTTATAAAAGTACATTTATATATTTCCGTTATAAATAGCGTAATTGTTACACGGATTATATGCGTAATTTTACATACTTTTTTTACAGTGTATTATGTAGCATAAATAATGCTCACCGTTCAAAGCGAACAGCCCGGACCGACAAGTAATGCATTGGTTCTCTGCCGTACCATTACAGGTCTCACAGGTAGCATGACATGGAGCGCAGCTATAATCTTGCGTCTCGTATGTGTATGGGGGACACGCGGCATAACATTTGTTCTCATGCATCACCAAGTGATGCTCACAGCTGGTGCACTTGTCCGGTCTGTCCTGACAGCTGGCGCAGTTGGCTTCGCACGGCACGCACGTGCTATTCTCGGTATCTATGTGGAGAAATGCAGAAAAAATCACGCGTTACGTCATTCAATTTCATGAGACAGAGATCATCGCGATCGATGAATATAAATTGATTTTTCGTCGACATACTTTCATAGTAGCCTTCCGGGCATTGCTGAAGGCAGACCGCCAGATCGGTGACTCGGAGGTGAGCGGGAGCGCAGGAGAGACAGGAGTCCTGACCAGCGCCCGCGCAAATCTCACAGGACTCGTGGCACGGCCAGCAGACGCCGCCCTGATTAGGAAAGCTTCTTGGCGGACAGCGACTAACACATGTGCTAGAAAAAAGAAAAGACACCCCTCGCGTTGTTTCTCAAACGATTTGACGTTGAGGAGGGCCAAACGAAGGGAAAAAATATAGATTTCATTCATTGAAAGTTCTTATTATAAGTAGGAAATAAATTGTAATGTGATTAAAAAAGGATTAATTTCATGATTATAGCGTGTGATATAAAATATATGAATCAATATGATATTACCATTTGCTTTTTTAGCAAATAGTTTTATATTCGAATGTGCCTACCGTTATAATCCATAGTTCGTAGCGTTGTATAAAATTGTTTTATGATTTATTAGTTTTATGAAGATGCTACCATTAATGAATCTTGATCTGTATATCTATATTTAGAATTAAATATAGTGTCATACAGATCAAGATACCTCTAGAAAATAAAATATTTATTAGAAATTTATCTATTTAAGGATGTTTTGTACCTATTTTCAAAATATTGAGAATTTAATGAAAATTGTAGAGAATATCCTTACATATGTTTAGAATCTTCAGTACAATTTTTAAATCGATTCACTAAAGCGTTCACAAGTTATAAGGATTTTAATTTGCATCGAATTAACGTGTTCTTATGGGAAACATATAACCACGTCGATTTAAATGACAAAATCACATGGAAATAATATTCAGAATTTGTTTAAAATTTGCGAAAATTTAGATACAGAGGAAATATTTGGTCAAATAATATTATACAAGTATTAACTGGTTAAAAAGATATTAAATATAATTCAATGAAGTTAGCCATGTATCTGTCACAAGGCGAAATTTTCTGCCAAAAGTTAATCATTTAGATTAACAAAATTCGGAATATTTCAGTAAAAACGCAATAAATATTTAAAAAATACATCTCTGCACTGTAGCTAAGATCAAATTGTCATATTCCACACAATTTCTTACTCAAAATACACCAAAAGTGGATATATTCAAAATTGATTTTCAGCTACTTTTTGCTGGAATTGTACAGGGTGTTTCATCAACATAGCTCTATTCGATGGGTTGCCTGCTCATAGGAGCGCAAGAAAAATAATTAAAAAAAACTTAAATTTAATATAACTTTTAACATTATATCAATAATCCTTATATATATATATATATATATATCTAAAAGAATGTTATAACATTATAATATTATTATTATTATAATATAACTTTTAACATTATATATCAATAATCCTCATCTACATATGATTGCAATAATATTATAATATTATAATATTATAATATTATTGCAATCATATATATATATATATATATATATATATATATATGATTGCAATAATATTATAATATTATAATATTATAATATTATTGCAATCATATGTAGATGAGGATTATTGATATATAATGTTAAAAGTTATATTATAATAATAATAATATTATAATGTTATAACATTCTTTTAGATATATACTTTCAAATATTCATGTCACAAGTTCACTATTCTGTGCAATTTAATTTTTTCTTCTAACAGCTTATTACGCGTTGATAGCGTGACAGCTAGTATACTTCGTCGAAAATGTACGCGAGTGATCTGTATTATCTATTCCTGCATTACCGGTCTTACGCTCCTATGAGCAGGCAACCCGTCATATTGAGCTGTATGTTGACGAAACACCCTGTACATACAAAATATCCTTAATATATTATTTTGATTTTATTATCAAGAATCTCGGCGGATAAACACTATACTAAAGAGACTGTATCTTCTCACCGAGACAAAAAAACAATTGTCCCATGCAAGAGAGATTAAATAATAATTCTCTTAAGCGTTCATCTACTCACTTGTCGAGACGATAATTCTTACAGGCGACGCATTGAGTCGGCCCTTTGCCATAACAACCCTGGGCATCGCACTGAGGATCGCAGTCGTGTAGTATCCTCCTGGTCGTATCGAGAGAGCCGTCTTGCGCGGATGACGCCGCCGAGGGTGAGTCGAAGGCGGATGCCGATGAGACGTCGCCGGGCAAGTGGTTCGTCAGGAGTGGCGCCGACGAGCCGTCCAGAGTGGCCACCGATGCCTGTAGGTTCGATGCAGCGCCGGTGTACGGGCCCTGGTAACTCTGAAAGGTAGACGAAGAAAAGAAGTCGCTATTGCCCGGATAACCGGACAGTTGTAGCGGATCATCGTCTACCGTGAACGGATAATGCATGGAATGGGAAGGAAGGTACGCGGAATGTACCGGATTAAACTGCCGTGTGCGTATCCGGATCGGGTTCGTCGACGTGCCGTAGAAGATCAGCTGCCACTTCTTCAGTATGCCTGCAACAAGATTAACAAAATGGTCAAGTTGACGGGAACGATAGGGCACGTTCAGAAAAAGTTCGTTAAGCTCGAGGCAATGTAGTTAACTTGATAATTAAAAATAATGTAAATCGAAAATATCTTTAGAGAAGAGAAGAGATTATTCGGATAAAAATTATAACATGTCTCTGGAATGTAAGAGATTTTTAGAATAATAAATATTAAAGTTTTTCAGTAAATATTAATACTGAAATAATCTCAAAAATATTTTCGAAACGAAAATTATTAAAATATCATGAAAATTATTTTACTTCGCGAATAAAAATTAATTTTTCTTTTGGGCGCGTGGATATCGCCCGTGTATAAAATCGAGAAATTAAATTGAGCTTGCCTGGTGAGTTGACGTGTCGATTGCCTGCATTAATAATTTGCAGGGTCCATCGACCGTCCGCCTTTTCGCCCCAAAAATGCACGCTGAGGAAGGGCCAATCGTCAAAGTTGGAACTGAGAACGTCGCGTGGTCGCTCAAACAATAGGGTCGAGGTTGTGCCCATCGGGGAAGTCAGTAAGAGTCTTAAATTTCCTCGAGGGAAGAACCTCAGGGAAACCTGTTTTACAACAAATAATTCAAATTTTATTCATATTTTAATCAAATTTTAAATTTCAATTTGACGCATCAAATAATATAAATATTAATTTTACACAGAATATGAGAAATTCTAATTATTCTTAAAGAATCGATAAAATTTTTTTCGTCTTCTTTGAAAAGAAGATTAATCTTAAAGAAAATAAGTTTCTTCAAGATTTCAGAAAATCTTGTGATATGAGAAAAGTTTTGAAATTTTTTCATGAAAAGAATTCAGCGAAAGAGAGAGAGAGAGAGAGAAAACTCAAAATTTAATTTTACAAAAAAATACCTGAAACTGTATAAAATATTTATATAAATAATATATATTTTCCAAAAATTAAATAATAATTCTTTCGAATAAGATAAATATTATACATATCAAAGTATTTTAAATAAATTATAATATTTTTATGGCTGCATTTAAATTCATTCATTATATTATAATTAAATCTATATTAATATATGTTAGAATAATAATTCTAATAATAATAATTATACAGAGTGTCCCAAAAGTTCCGGACCGGTCGAATATTTCATAAACTATGCACTTTAGAAAGAAATATTTCAGACAAAAGTTGCATGGCTTGAAGGAGGCCATCAGATAGTGGCAATGATTTGACATGGGAGAGTCATTTGAAAGTCACGTGAAGATCACCATCAATTTTTTAAATGGAACTCCCTATTTTTTATTACATATTCGTTAATTTGCAATTAACAATTACATATTTTTTTTAAAAACAACTATGTGTTTTCTTTACACCAATTGATTCCTCTCATTATTTTGTACATAAAATTATTAAGGTAAGATAATCAAAAAATGAATATTTTACTAGATATTTTATGATTTATGCAAAATTAAGAAATAATTTCAAGCTCATAACTCGAAAAGTACTCAATGAAGAAATACTTTATTGTAGTGTTTTGGAAAGCTCTCGAGATAAGCTACACGCATATGTAATAAAAAATAAGGAGTCCATTTAAGAAATTGAAGGTGACCTTTACATCACCTTCAAATGACTCTTCAAGATCAAATCATTGCCACTATCTGATGGCCCCCTTTAAGCCATACAACTTTTGTCTGAAACATTTCTTTCTAAAGTGCATAGTTTATGAAATATTCAACCGGTCCGGGACTTTTGGGACACTCTGTATAATAGAATAAACTGTATTAAAAAGCAGTTATTAATCTATTCTTAGATAATAACAGGAACGTGACGATCTCTTTCCCGATCTTACCTTGCACTGCACGTGCTCCAAGAATCGCACTTCGTTCAAGGATCCGGCGCATCCGGTAACGTCCATGTATGCACTCAAGGTATAACCATACGTGGGATCAATCGGTCTTTCCTCATTGAGCTCGTCGGACTTGCAAATGTGTTGCGGCGGCACATTGGTCCATTGTTCAGCCAGGTTGACCATGGCGCCCGCGTCCATCAGACCGTAACCGAATTTGTGCGAGACCTTCCTCTTGACGCCGTTCAGGATCCAGCCGGGCTCGTTGCTCAGGGGCTCGGACCGCGAGGTGAGCACCACCAGGTATTGCATGTCGCGCCATGTTAGAGTCGGGTTCGCCTCGAGAGCGAGGGCGGCGATGCCAGCGGCTAACGGCGCCGAGGCCGATGTCCCGGTGTGCTCCACCGTGCAGATGTGATCCGGACGCAGCTTGGCGTCCATGTCCACGGTGGCGACGCTCTTGTCGTTGCCGGGCGTGCCCGATGAATAAGTGGACGCCAGGGTGGAGCTGCATTCCTCGAGGTACCACGGCTTGTAGCCACCCTGGGTCGCGCTCGATATCGACAGTGTAAATATACTGTTCGTGTAGCCGTCGCAGTTGCACGAGTCGGTATGCCGGCCGCCGTTTCCCGACGCCCACACGAAGATCGAGCCCTTGCCCTTGCGACCCTGCGTGGGAGGAAATAATATTGTCACGCGTGTGCTGACACGAGGAAATGGATCGCGTGATCAACGAAGCGATAGGATATTTTTGTGGCTTTATCAGATAATAAAAGGACTCGCTTATGTAGTGATATGATTATGTAATATACAACGTGACAATTTATAGGATATACCAGGTGGCCCCGAACGTTCCAGCCGGACTTTGAGATAGGAGATTTAATTCTGAACAAAAAATTTCCTATAAACGTGGATCGAAGAATGCTTCCTTAAGAAGTTATCGTTCAAAAACCTCTGGTGAAGGAAGAGCAAAAGGTGGAAAGAAAATGAAATAAAAAGAAAATGAAACTAAATAAATTTCTTGAAAAAAACAATAAAAATAAAAAATAGAAATCTTTTTCTTTTGTGAAAATAAAATAATTTTTTTTTTAACTAACTTTTATTTTATTTTCATACGAGAAAAAGATTTTTATTTTTTATTTTTATCGTTTTTCTCAAGACATTTATTTAGTTTTCTTTTTATTTCATTTTCTTTTCACCTTTTGTTCTTCCTTCATCAGAGGTTTTTGAACGATAACTTCTTAAGGAAGCATTTTTCCACCCATGTTTGTAGGAAATTTTTTGTTCAGAATTAAATTTCCTATAAAATCTCAAAGTTTGGCTGGAACATTCGGGGCCACCCTGTATATTAGAAAAATCATAATATGGTAAGTTGTAAATCAAACTTGGAAAACGTTTTTGATTATGAAATTTTTTTCATAACTAGAAACTTGATTTTTCTAGCAAATAAAGGCGAATATGAAATGAATTTTGTGCGAACGATATAATTGCAGCGGTATTATTCTGGTTGGCAATTGTTCCGAAAAATTAAAAATTAGATTCTTCCAATTTTGTCATAGTGTGCGTAAAAAGTTGTCTCCTAGCATACCATTTAGTTAGTAAATTACAAAAAACGAATTTTCAATGGAAAAAAAGCAATTTATAACGAGGTTTCATATGTTGAACAAATTATTTTCTGGAGGCGAATTTCAATAATTGTTTTCAGGCGAAAAAATAATTTGGTATGCAACTGAAAAGAATTTTACTTGTACTCTCGAAATTGTTCCTGCGAATATTTAAATTTCATGAAATAATAATCCGACATAATTATTAATTATATCGGATTATTTCATGAGATTTAAAAAAAAAACGTAATCACTCTCTCGTAGAAATTTTCCCTCCCTTAATATCGATAATTTTTATTTTATACCATCGCGACATCAACGAAACGTTGACAAAAAGAAGGTTGCCCCTAAATCGTGCCGAAGTAATGGAATAAAATGTCGGGGTGAAAGCTCGCGACAGAAAATAAATTGATCCTCTCGCTTCGTGGACGCAATATATGTAGCTTACGCTCGTCACTCCGTAAATAAACGCCCTCCTGGCGAGCGGGCCCGGACCGTCGACGGTCTTGCCGTCGTCCTCGGGACCCCAGGAGGCGCTGTATATGTCGATGTGATCAGGATTCAATCCCAGCGCTCTGGCCTCGACAGCGTCGTTTACCGGGCCATCGAGCATTCGCACGCCTGAGAACACGGGAGATATGTGCGTAAGTCTTCCTTTCCTCTCTCTCTCTTTCTCTCCTTCTCTCTCTCTCTCTCTCTATCTTTCTTTCCCTCTCGCGTGCCGTGATTTCAAATCACGGTAGGATCGTGCGAGTCTAGCGGATTGTTATCGATCTTAAGGATGTTTTGAGAAATTATTGAGAATTTAATGAAAATTGTACAGAACGTCCTTACATATGTTTAGAATCTTCAGTACAATTTTTAAATCGATTCACTAAAGGTGATGCAAATCGGTTCACAAGTCTTATAAGTCCTGACGGAAATTTGTGAGAAGATGTGCATGCGTGTGAGTTTTTATCCAAGGATGTTAATATCAGAGATGAGAAGATATTCGCATGTCATCAATGGATAAAAATATTGACGACACATGTATGCATATATACATGTATATAAAAATATAGAAAAATATTTATTTAATATTCAAATTAATAAGAAATCCAATATCTTTTCGTATTTTCGATGTGTGATATATTTACGTAAGTTCATGTAATATCCAGTATTTATTTTTATTAATTACGAAATAATATTCATGATTAAGAATATTTTCGAAAATTTCGTTAAAAAAAATTGAAAAATAATATACATATGAGGTACGACGTTACGTCAAAAAAGAAAAATAACTCTAGTTACAAGTTTATAATTTATTGAAATTGTCATTAAGGATGTTTTGTACCTATTTTCATAATATTGAGAATTTAATGAAAATTGTACAGAATGTGTCCTTACATATGTGTAGAATCTTCAGTACAATTTTTAAATCAATTCATTAAAGCGTTCACAAGTTATAAGGATTTTAATTTGCATCGAATTAACATGTGTTCTTATGGGAAACGTATAACCACGTCGATTCAAATGATAAACACATGGAAATAATATTCAGAAATAATATTCAGAATTTGTTTAAAATTTGCGAAAATTTAGATACAGAGAAAATATTTGGTCAAATAATATTATACAAGTACTAACTGGTTAAAAAGATATTAAATATAATTCAATAAAGTTAGCCATGTATCTGTCACAAGGCGAAATTCTCTGCCAAAAGTTAATTATTTCGATTAACAAAATTCGGAATATTTCAGTCAAAACGCAATAAATATTAAAAAATACACTTCTGCACTGCAGCTAAGATCAAATTGTAATATTCCACACAATTTCTTACTCAAAATACATCAAAAGTGATTATATTCGTCAATATTGATGTCCAGCTACTTTTTACTAGGATTGTACATGCAAAACATCCTTAAGGATAATCGAGACGAATAAATGTTCGAAATATAGAAAATAGCAAGACGCAGAATTATACATAATAATCTTCAATCCAGCATTAATTTAATCTTCTCGATTTCCAATTTTTTACCTGCAAAAATATTGTATATATAAGAAAGTAATTTTCACATATATTTTATAGATATAAATATTAAAAAAATAAGTTCATCAGACGGTGTATGTATTTGCAATGTAAATCTCTCTCATTCAACTGCATTCGAAATCAAATTTATCGAGATATTATGTCACCGAGGGAAATAACCGGCGAATATCTTTGCGCAAAAATATCTCGCCGACACACGACAATCCTGATTACAAACGCTATTACCGTTGTAATTCTGACGAAATTTCTTGCCGCCGCTATATCGGAATTTCTAATTTCGTTGCATACGACCATCAATTGCTCGAATTCAATATCGTGAGATCCGGCTAACCCCTCTGTATAACGATACGCGCTATCGTTTCCGCCCCCGTTTCGCTTCGTTCGTCGTAAGCCCCGACGGCTTACGACGGACGTTCGTTTCGTTTCGAAGTGGGTTAACGGAATTAATACAGCTCGATAGCATCGAGAAACCGGGAATAACGGCGAACGACCGGAAAACGTGGCCTATTCTTCAACGAGTCGAGACGATAAAGCGACCACCACCAGGTCTGACAGTTCCAGCGGTCGCCGCACTATTTATTTCCGCGGAACGATTCGCGCCAGCTAAGTCAGCGCTGGAACGCTCCCAGACGGATCCGCTCTCACCTGATGTAAAATCAAGATAAATGCCGCCTTCGAGAAACAACGAAATCTCTCCTTACGTTGCATCAACTGATTGCTAACATTGATGAAAAAATATAAATGTAAAATTAAGGATGTTTTGTATGTACAATTCCAGCAAAAAGTAGCTAAAAATCAATTTTGACGAATATCCACTTTTGGTGTATTTTGAGTATGAGAAATTGTGTGGAATATTACAATTTGATCTTAGCTACAGTGCAGAAGTGTATTTTTTAATATTTATTGCGTTTTTATTGAAATATTCCGAATTTTGTTAATCGAAATGATTAACTTTTGGCAGAGAATTTCGCCTTGTGACAGATATATGGCTAACATCATTGAATTATATTTAATATCTTTTTAACTAATTAGTACTTGTATAATATTATTTGACCAAATATTTCATCTGTATCTAAACTTTTGCAAATTTTAAACAAATTCTGAATATTATTTCCATGTGTTTTTGTCATTTGAATCGACGTGGTTATACGTTTCCCATAAGAACATATGTTAATTCGATGCAAATTAAAATCCTTATAACTTGTGAACGCTTTAGTGAGTCTATTTAAAAATTGTACTGAAGATTCTAAACATATGTAAAGGACATTCTGTACAATTTTCATTAAATTCTCAATATTTTGAAAATACGTACGAAACATCCTTAAGGATGTTTTGTATGTACAATCTCAGCAAAAGGTAAATGAAAATCAATATTGAGGAATATCCACTTTTGATGTATTTTGAGTATGAGAAATTGTGTGAAATATTATAATTTGATCCTAGCTACAGTTCAGAGATGTATTTTTTAATATTTATTGCGTTTTTACTGAAATATTCCGAATTTTGTTAATCGAAATGATTAACTTTTGACAGAGAATTTCGCCTTGTGACAGATACATGGCTAACTTCATTAATTATATTTAATATCTTTTTAACTAGTTAACACTTGTATAATATTATTTGACCAAATATTTCATCTGTATCTAAACTTTTGTAAATTTAAAAAAAATTCTGAATATTATTTCCATATGTTTTTGTCATTTGAATCGGCATAGTTACGTTTCCCATAAGAACACATGTTAATTCGGTGCAAATTAAAATCCTTATAACTTGTGAACGCTTTAGTGAATCGATTTAAAAATTGTATTGAAGATTTTAAACATATGTAAGGACATTCTGTACAATTTTCATTATATTCTCAATATTTTGAAAATAGGTACGAAACATCCTTAATGACAATTTCAATAAATTATAAACTTATAACTAGAGTTATTTTCCTTTTTTGACGTAACGTCGTACCTCATATGTATATTATTTTTCAATTTTTTTAATGACATTTTCGAAAATATTCTTAATCATGAATATTATTTCGTAATTAATAAAAATAAACACTGGATATTACAATTAATAAAAATAAATACTGGATATTATATGAAGTTACGTAAATATCGTACATCGAAAATACGAAAAGATATTAGATTTCTTATTAATTTAAATATTAAATAAATATTTTTCTATATTTTTATATACATGTATATATGCGTACATATGTTACATATATTGTCAATATTTTTACCCGTTAGTTAACACGCGAATATCTTCTCATCTCTGATATTAACATCCTTGGATAACAACTCACACGCATGCACATCTTCTCACAAATTTCCGCAGGACATAAAATAACTCTGCCAATTTCTAATCTAGTGAACGTAGGAATATATAAGGAAAAGAAAATATTGGTCTGCGTACGTTATCTTAACCGAGAGAGAAAGAGAGAGAGAAGCATTATTCAATTTTCATATTATCTGCACGATAAACGCATCCTCTTTCTCTCTCTCTTTTTCTAATTTAGAATGATAATCCAATCTTCATATTATTCTAACAGCAATCATGTGTTAGCAATTCGTTATCTTTCTTTTTAGATTATAATCCAAGATTATAAGGAAAATTGGAAAATTATTATCCAGGATTATAATGCTAATCGTCATCGATGCAACCGGATTAAAGTATATTGGAGAGTTAAAGCGATCAGAAATTATTGGAAGGTTATTTTATTCATAAATTTTGTAGAATAGTTAGCGATATTTTTTGTCGATTCTGAAAAATATTCATATTCTTCTGTAATCACATCGATAAATTCCTGATAAATAAGAGAGAGAGAGAGAAAGAGAAAGAGAAATCTAGTCTTCAATACACAATAAACTGTTTAATTAATTTATCATAAACTGTCATCATTTATTTCTTTAAAGCACTAAATTATATATCTAGATATGTGAGTCTCTTTAAAGTAATGTTCTTCTTTCTTATTAAAATTAATTAATAATTTAATTTCTTTGATATATAATTTAGAGAAATTAATTTTTCTAATTAAATTTAGGAAATTAATTTCTTTGATTATATATAATTTAGAGAAATTAATTTCTCTAGTTAAATTTAGGAAATTAATTTCTTTGATTATATATATTCATTAATATTAAAAATATCTTTCTTAACAATATATCATCTAGAATTAACAATTATTAAATAACAATTTCTAAATAAATGAAAATGCGTTTTCAGACCAATCATTTCGATCTTCACATTGCGATTTCTCTTACCTCCAATACTAGCATTGTAGGCGACACCGACACCGCAATACTGGTTGAAGGCAACGGCGGCGACCTCGCCGGCACATCGAGTGCCGTGCTTATTGTCGCCGTTATCCCTCGGCATTGGATCGTCATCGTTGTCATTGATGTCCGTGCTGGCCTGATGATCGTAGTTGAGCGCCAGATCAGGATGATTGGTCTGAATGCCGTCGTCTAGGATCGAAACGACGACACCCTTGCCTGTATAGCCTTTCTGCCAAGCCGGACCGAGATTCATGTCATAGCCATCCTTGGCGCCGCCGTTCTACGATAACGAAATGCCAAATTTAATTAACAATCCAATGGAAATATTATGATTGTTTTAGTCTCTTAAATAGGAATATATTATGCAGAAATTTTTATTTATTTATTTGTAAAAATCTGTTAAAGATTTGTAAGACATTGTGCGTGTTAGATTTTAGGATTTATCAAGTTAGGAAATGATATGTATATAGATATTTCAGGAATGAAGAAAGAAATGTATAGAAAAAGAGTTATTGTTAAAATTAAAGTATCTTAAGGAAAAAGTTATCTATTTAAATTTATTTAATGAAGAAAGAAATGTATAGAAAAAAAGAGTTACTTAAAATTAAGGTACCTTAAGGAAAAAGTCATCTATTTAAATACATCTCTTATGCAAAGAAAAGTTTTTCTTTAATTATGTTATAATTAATAATATAATATTTTAATTTTTCATTTTACGGAAAAATTCGTATAATTTCTTTTTATTTTCCAAATTAATTTTACATTAATATGTAATATATATTGCATAATAATTTTAAAAATTAACATTTAAGAATTTCGAGGAAAGATTAATTTTTTTCTTATAATTTACAATTGCTTCAAATAAATTCAAATAAATTCTCCTTGTTTGTATAAATTTTATTACATCTCTGTAAACATAAAAATTTTAATATTGAAAAAAATACTTTAACCAAAGATCATGATGATGAATCGTATACGGAACGATACATGATTCTTTGACAGGAATTAATTCGCGAATTTCATGTTGCCGCGTATGTGACCGTTGATTGATATTCTAGTAATCCATTAATCCGCGATGTAACACTATACATCTTCGCATGCGTGTATACAATTTGGTGAATTAATGGATTACTAGCCACACGACAAATTCGGACGCTATAACTTCATAGCACGATATAAGTTACACTAACAGACAAGATAGCCGACGTCTTCAATAGCACCATTTTTTGTTTGGAACTTTGCATTACTTTTTCTTTTAATATGTATATATTTGTCAATTAAGGATGTTTTGTATCTATTTTCAAAATATTGAGAATTTAATGAAAATTATACAGAATGTCCTTACATATGCTTAGAATCTTCAGTACAATTTTTAAATCGATTCACTAAAGCGTTCAAGTTATAAGAATTTTAATTTGCACCGAATTAACATGTGTTCTTATGGGAAACGTATAACCATATCGATTCAAATGACAAAAACACATGGAAATAGTATTCAGAATTTGTTTAAAATTTGCAAAAGTTTAGATACAGAGGAAATATTTGGTCAAATAATATTATACAAGTACTAACTGGTTAAAAAGATATTAAATATAATGAAGTTAGCCATGTATCTGTCAGAAGGCGAAATTCTCTGCCAAAAGTTTATCATTTCGATTAACAAAATTCGGAATATTTCAGTAAAAACGCAATAAATATTAAAAAACACATCTCTGCACTGTAGCTAAGATCAAATTATAATATTCCACACAATTTCTCATACTCAAAATACATCAAAAGTGAATATTCGTCAATATTGATTTTCAGCTACTTTTTGTTGGAATTACATACGAAACATCCTTAAAGAAATAATATATATAAAATTAATAATCATGCTATGTAAGTGCAAAAAGAATTAATTCCAGTTTCGAAAAATCAATTTATATCTGGAATTTTTCAATCGCCGAATCATGTACATATGTATCGCGGTTCACATAAAAATATCGATCGCCTTAAAATTTCATACAAATTTTGACAGAGTTATTAGCTTTCCCGGCATCGCTATTGGTGGTCGCCCAAAGTTATAACGAGCCGGAAAAAATATATGCGAGGCACGACCGCCAAACGATTCGAGCTACGTGATTTGTATCCTCGAACAAATGTCCATTTTATGCATTTATAATGGATTGATTATTGCTCCGGCTATACGATGAACGATGTTTTGCATTTTGCGCCATGAATTTGCGTAATAAATGTACGATATGCAAATACACGGATGTTTCGCACGTGTTTCACGGTAAACGTGCGAGTTCGCGTATGATCATGTCCCGAATCACGGTGAAAAAATTTGCAGCGACGCGATAAATTCGTGCGTGCCTAGAATGATTATTTGCACAGTTCTCGTAAATTAATCATCTGGGGGGATGGGCAATCAAGGATCGTAAGAGAGCACGACAAACATATCAATGGCAGGTAAATTGAATAATTTACCGTTTTAATTGCTATGAAAGCACTTGTATATTTGTTGCAGCTAAAAAATAATAGCTATAAGTAATAAATAATAAATAAGTAATAAGTAATAAATAATAACTATAGCTAAAAAATTGTGAGTCAATTATATATATATATATATATATATATATATATATATGTGTGTGTGTGTGTGTGTGTGTGTGTGTGTGCAGTTTCCAAGCTTTAAAGTTGAAAAAATAATCCAAGCTTCTGCAGCGAAAAAGAAAGGTATTTCGAGATTCTTTCCAGAGCGCATATTTTATATTCCGCATTTTTACAAAAGAAATGATATTAAAAAATTGCACAATGTGCAAAAATCCGAGACACAGTTTTGATTATCGTGCACATGAAATTGCGCGTTTTTGTCCTTGTACCGAGACTAATCTTGGTCTCGTATCTTCGGATGGGGACGCGCGTTCCCGTTTTCCACATGCATGAATGTACGCGAGTGGAGTAAAATACTTTTACGGAGTGCATCGCGAAGCGCAAAAACACACGATGCTGTTCTCTAATCTCTATGACTACCAGTGTTCTTCCAGGATATCAAAAAGAGGTAGAATAGCTACGTAAAATGTATGACTCGTAAGCTACATACACATAACAAAGAGTTTAAAATTTGTTTTATAAAAATTCTGTTTGTCTCTTATTTGCTTTGGCAAATTTTTCTGCGCATTGTGTATGTATATGTAATTGTGATTTATCAAAAAATCAAATATGTATATATATATAACAGATAATAATAAATAATTTCTAATAAGAATGTCTGCAACATCTTTAAATTAAAAAATCAAGCATTTATTTGCATCTTTTTCTAAAAAAAAAAACTTACGTATATAAATATAAATTCTCTTAATACGATAAAAATGTCGAATATTTTTATTCGTCGATCGATTTAAATTAACGATATCCGTAAATGAATGACTGGTAAATTCTCCGAGAATTATTTTTCAACAAAATAAAAAATAAATAAAAAATACATACTTTAAGATAAAAAAGGAACTGAGAAACTGCCGTGAGCAATTCGCAATTCAACTAATACTAATTTACGAAAATATTCTCTCGCAAAATGTAATGCTCGTCTCCAACTCGCATGTGAAGGAACACGTTTCTCTTGATCCTGACTCTTGTATGCTACGCCCGTAGCTTGTCGAGATCAGAGGACGAGGCAGACGCGTGTTCTTGTCGCAGAGAGAACACCATGTCGCAATGGGAAATGTGCCAATCTCCGCGTCGATGCACCTTTCCCAGTTGTTGTTGCTTTTTTTACTCATCCATTTCGAGCCGGGCGTGCCGCATGACGGTACCCGGGCTCCGTTTCCCCTGCGATTCCATTAACTAGATTGCGCATTGTCGTGCTTGCCCGAGAGGAGGGCCAGAGGCACCGATGCATGTCCCCCGTCGTCCGTGTCAGCGCTTATCTGCCCTGAGATTTTGGCGCTTCGAGAGCAAGAGAAAGAAAAGGAAGGAGAGAGAGAGAGAGAGAGAGAGAGAGAGAGAGAGAGAGAGAGAGAGAGAGACGAGGGGGAGGGAGGGAGGGGGAGAGAGAGGGGGGGAGAGAGAGAGGAGGGGCAGAGAGAGAGGAAGAACGAATAGTAAGAGCGCTATGTGCAACGAAAATGCAATGCGGAATCAGAAGAGTTCGATAGCTCAAAGAAAAGGAGAAGGAAGAACCCATCACCGGAGGGAACGAATTACCGAGCTTTCCGCTGTAGCTCTCGTTGATACGACAGAAACGTCAATGTTCTTGGTATCGACTATCGTTAGTGTTTGATGGAAGACTCTTACTTAATCTCGTTTCATTTTACTTTAATGATAATTTTTCGAGCAAATCATGTTTAATACTTTTGTTGTTTTATCATATCGAGTACTATGATCGCTTATATGCACGATTCACATATCAAGAATTATGATGTAATGCTCATTAAATTTTTGAAGTTAAACATGTATAATTTAAAAAAAAACTTTCGAGAGTCAAGAAACGCAGATAATTATTTGAATAATTATTATTGCTATAGCATTTTTTAAATCAATTCAGGGATATTTTGTATAATCGCATAATCAAAAATTGGCAACCGTTTATGATCCAAGAATAATCCTATCAGATTTAAATTCATTTATTTTTGAGATCCGATAATAATTTATAAATCACTGGATATGCATAAAATACATATCAACAATAATCTATTAATTTCTTCCTAAATTATAAATTAAGTGATACAATTCACTCTGAATTAAAAACATAAACAATGTGTCGCAGAAAAGATTTCGAAAGTTACAAATTTCTTATAAAATAATTTTTGTATTATTTTATTATTTGCTTTATATTTCATGAAAGCTATCATGTTTATACTTTTGTTGTATTTTATCGTATCGAGTACTATGATCGCTTATATGCACGATTCACATATCAAGAATTGTAATGCTCATTAAATTTTTGAAGTTAAAAATGTATAATTTTAATTTAAAAAAAACTCTCGGAAGTCAAGAAACGCAGATAATTATTTTAATAATTATTATTGCTATAGCATTTTTTAAATCAATTTAGAGATATTTTGTATAATCCCATAATCAAAAATTGGCAACCGTCTATGATCCAAGAATAATCATCAGATCTAAATTCATTTATTTTTGAGATCCGATAATAATTTATAAATCACTGGATATGCATAAAATACATATCAACAATAATCTCTTAATTTCTTCCTAAATTATAAATTAAGTGATACAATTCACTCTGAATTAAAAACATAAACAATGTATCGCAGAAAAGATTTCGAAAGTTACAAATCT